GTTGTGGTATTTCTTTAGATGTTTTCGGTCAACCCTTAATTAGTTACCCTAATTCGCTACATTAGCTTTGTCCTAGAATCGACTTCCATATGAATGTTGGTTTGATCAACTGACCCTACAAAAACGCTCCAGTTTTGTTTCCACAGCTAAAGGGAGGAATACAAACTGGTTCTATATTTGACCTTTAGTCATTGATAACTAACGCTCTGTCAATATTCGTCAATAGTCGTTAGATGTCATACACCTAACTAGCTTGTTATATTATCTTGAGGCATTGATCCTAGCTTGCTGAACGTGTCCTCTGTATGAGGATTGAGGCTTGTGAGAGAGGGGAGAGTAAGAAAAGTAAACTAAGATGCCTGATGAAGCGCTGTGAACGGACCACCCAGCCACAAGTTGTTGAGGCGCGATGTTCCCGTGCTCTGTCCGGTTATCATGTGTTTGCTCACCTGCCGCTTGATTAAGGTTCCCCAGGGTTAGTAACATAATCGAAGTCTTAAAGATTAACCATTCCTTTGGCTTAATGTAAGTCTCCATGCTATAGTGAGGATATATTTCCTAAATTTACTTAGGAACCTACTTGGTTTGCACCTTACAAGTGGGCAGGTTTTATTGGTCATGGGTATCGTTAATGGACTAATGTGAAGAAATACAGCAGTCTCGCACACTACGGGTCAGTACGGTTTATTGGTCAAATGCGTCCTCCAGCACTGGGGAGTACGGTAGTTCGGGTAAGTGCGGGGACCACATCCGATCCCCTGTACCATAGCAATCACGCAAAGATATTGTTCTAAAAATAATTATTACAATTACACAACAGTTCTTTGATTTTTTGGTTTTCTGAACAAAGCGTCCAGAATTTTTAGGGTAAACACACTCCGCGAAAGTTAGCATTTTCGTCTTGGTAACATCCAGTGGTTCGCTTCAAGGCCGTCATTTCGTATGTAAGCGTTTCATGTTGATAGCATATTAGGCTGTTAGCTGAAATTTGTTGAATGTTTAATTTTAGGAGACTTATATACCAGGAAACGCCAAACATATGACCATATGTATAGAAAGTCTCTGTTCTCCATTCTGTTGTATCATCAGAAGATTAAATTATGTGTAACTTCTGGGAACTATTTATGGACTGTTATTATAAGTATTCTTATTGTATAGCTATCAAGTAACCGGATTATACATATTCATATTTCTTTTATTATAAACCTTTATTTGACCTACTGAATACTGTTGTACGACTTACTATCCTCGAGTTATTCTCGGTCTATTAGTTGCAGTCTCTCATACTCACAGGCAGTTATGGAACGATACTGTATAACTGTTGCTTTTTATTTTGTGGTGTTATGCGTCCTGATTTGACCATAAATAAACTAAGTATGTCTGAAATGCATGATTCATACAATGGAAGCTGAAATAGTGTTCTGGACTCAATGGGTAGGGAAATGCAAGAACCAATAGAGGCTCATTGTTGAACCCAGGCTTCTCGTCATTGTTTTCGACACAATAAGGCAGTGTTTTATTTGACGATTTTGTCGGGTAATAATTTGCGGGCTATAGGACATAACAATTGTTGTTGACGTCTGTTAAGCACTTGTAACATATGCAGTTGCATTGTCATTCTGCACTTTTCGGTAAAGATAACTTGAAGCATGGAACCGCAGAATTCTTTCATATAAAATATGATTTAACGCGCCATACAGTAAAAATATGATAAGATGTAAACGTTGATATTAAAGGACCCACAATGTTTAACTCAGTTATACTAAATGCACATGATTGTATGCTCATTTTCGTATATAATGCTTTTTGATTATGTAAAATGGATATGTCAAGTGCAAAAGTGAACAAACTTGATGTACGCGTCCTCTCAAGGTCATAGTTTATAGCAAGCGCTCTACGATTCCACTTTATAACAACTATAAACTTAATAAGTTGGGAAACATTTTGTGAACCAACAAATATTGTAATTTATAGATCATGCCTGTAAGAACGGTGTGTACCTGCACATGCAGAAATATATTATTATTATTACTATGATCCAACCTTTTACTTCCATTGCAGTACAATTTCTGGTGATTCTAAATGTCCGTGTCAATCCAATGAAGTTTAAAAGAGGCCTTCACTACTATTATCTTAGTCCATTTGGTTTACTTGGTGATATTATACATCGATTGTATATTACTGCAGTACATACTGGTCATTTCGAGTACTTACACATACATTCACGAACACCGGCATTCTAGTTCCTACTCAATTAATTTAGCCTCAGTCATCCAGTAATAAGATAACGAATATGACAGAACTTCGTCTCAAAAATACTGCACTGTTCTTTGAAGTGAGTGTTCACACGTATAAGCGTTCCACATGGGACTAAGTAAACGACAATATAATGTGAAAACGCAATCACAGTTTATAAATGTTATCTACACATTACTATAGTGCCATACATAGGCATCGCCACAGCCAAAAGACTGACGTGTTACAAATGAGATGGTATGTGAAAATATTAGAAAAATAAAATCACTTTTTAGGAATCATTTACGTCTTCATATTTCTTTCAAATGGGGCTGGGTTGTTCATGTGTTCATCATGTAGATGTCAAACATTCGTTGGTAGTGTTCTACAACGTTAGTATTGTATGTAATAAACGAAATATTAAAACATTACCCATGCTAATAGTAAGAAAGAGAATGCCTAATTTTGTAGCCATGATGGAACTTGTGACTTCATCCTGCACCATCCTTAAAGCCTTGGATATCCCAAAGGGACATAAAGTTGCGATTTCTAAAAGCTCATACCTTCAATGGACATATCCTTGACCATCAGTCGCACATTCGCAACGCAACTTTCATGAAGCGCGCCAACTGTGGTACTGATTAAAACCATCTACATTCATATCTTATAAATTATCAACCCAGCTATGTAATTTACTACAGTGTATATTGTACCATTTGTATCAATTTGATCTTGCCTGTAATCTGGCATGCCTCATGTAACAAACTGTTATTTGAGAATAAATTATTATTATTATTATAAACCTGTGATTTTACGATGCCAGAGTCTATGGTGCTATGTGAAATGTGGATAGTGTACAAAGGCAGTGTAAAAATGTTTACTCATTTAAAACTTACGGTTAAATCGGCAAACACTTACGGAGCAATATGAAAAGAAAATATACAGTAAATGGTAATTTAAAGGCAAACGTTTTACAAAGCGTAATAAAGACGTGTACAGATATTAAATAATACACTTGAATTTAATTTAACTCACTTTTTCTTGGGATTCCCATGCACACTTATTTACTTCATCTCTTGTATCGTATGAGAAAGCCTGGATCACCACATCCATCACCTGTGTCCTTTCGTTTTATGGACAAATTGTGCCTTTGTGGTGTGAACACAGAATGTCTAACAAATGATACCTGGCAATTTCGCCGCCTTAAATTTCATAAACAACTGTCGCAATTTATGAAGTGATGACGGAATTTTTGTTCTTATAATTTAGCTTTTGGAGTATGGCTTGTATATGTAGGCCAATAATAGTGCTGCAGCTCTAACAATTTTGACCGTAAGTTTTGGCAGAGAACTGCAGGTTTGACTGGTTTGATACCAGTTTACAGCGTAGAAACTTTGGTTGCGAGGAAAAATCCATTTATCTTCGTGAAAGACAATGTATCGTCTGTTAATTTTGTAGTTACTGTGTGTATTACGACAAAGAATATAAAAGCTTCAAATAGCTTATTAACATAAAATAATGTTGCTGACAGTGATGCCTTTCAACGCTAAAATGTTGTGAGAAAAACTTCCGCAGGCAGTATTCTGTCTGATGTTCATCAACATATACTCTTCAGGATAGAACTGTCACTCTGTCTTTCAGTGCAGTAATTTACCATAGAAAACGTTTAAGTAACCCTTTATGCTATCGAAATAAATGTTTACACGCGATTATTAACCTCAACGCCTATTTTTTACGATTCCAACCAATATCACGATAACACGTAAAAATCTACGGAGATATATTTTATGCTATGTCCTAACCAAAGACAGTGTGAAACTGATAATGTACAGGGTCAAGTTATGAACAAACTATTTCAAAGGTTGGACGAAACAAATGTATCAAAATCACGGTGAAATTATTGGTGTTCGAAGTAACAGTTATTAATCCGTCAAATACTTTCAGTTCTTCCTGTAAAGATACCCTCCAGAGTCTCAGTGGTCGTACAGAAACGACAGTAAAATATAAACGATGGATTCATGGTAGAAAAATTAGTCATTTCTTTAACCATGGAGATGTTATGTATCCTGATGAACCATGGGGCGATGTCCTGTTTACATTAGGAAAAGCACCGAGATCTATTTAAGCCTAATTAGAAATGCTAGATAATGACACAGATACATTCATTATGTATGATCCTCTAAATCATAAGTCAAGTTCCATTCTTGAATGTTTATGTAAAAATAAACAAAAATAAACGTAAATGATATAAACACACCTACTATCTTAATGTGACGTTACTTATCTCTTACTTACTTACTCCTGCTACTCATCGTAGAGCAGAGTTGGCCATTCACCAGTATTCTCCATCGGGTACTGTAGCGGACAATCCTTCCTAGTTGTTTCCAGTTGTTATTCATTCTTTCCACGTCTTCTTCCAATTCGCGACGCAGTGTTTCGTGTTTTTCCTTTCAGTTTCCCTTCAGGGTTCTAAATTAGGGTTTGTCTCGTGATGCGGTTCGATGGTCTCCGCGATGCGTATCCCATCTACGCCCAGCACCTTTTCCTAATTAGGTTTTCTGCTGGAAGTTTATTTGTTCTCTTCCACAGTATTCTGTTGCTAATGGCATGTGGGACTTATTCCAGTCATAACATTTTCATGATACTTTGAAGCCACATCATCTTTATATTTGCAATTCAATCTAAAATCCAAATGGTCTCTATTGATAAATGTTTTAAGCCCTGGCTTTGCGTTAGATACTTTAAATGGATCAATAGCAATTTTCATCGTTGAACTCCTTAGGCCGTTACTTATTACCGTTGCCTATAGATGTGTTTTCATTTGCTAGATGATCTGAGAGACAATTACAATTATCACTGACTTTTAGTACATAAAAAACTGGAAGTAAAAACAATTGCCATTTAGCTTGGTGAAATAAATAGACCAGATGCTTCTTTATTGAAGACAGATACAATTTCAATATGAATTGTCCATTTATTGCATAAAGACATATGTAAAGTTTATTCCTTCAAAAGTTCAAACCTTAAAATCACGAACGTGTACATTATTCTTGATAAATGTGACCAATAAATTTTAAGAGTTCAAGTTATCGGTAATAATGAAAGTAACCGTGTGCTTTGATGATGTTAAAGTTGTTGTCCCCTGTGGAAACGGAAGCATTCTGATTCGAGAGCTAGCTGAAATGGCTCTTTTAAGGTTTCAGAAATCCACTTCCTCTTTGCTGCATGTAAGTTTTCTCTCGATTTAGTACTATACCAATTTTCGTTTTTCTCACAGTACGTGCAAAGTTTGTCATTTATTTGGTGTAATAAGTCATCACGAATATCTCTAGGTTATTTTGAGTAAGAGTTAATGTTTGGATTGGTTTTTTAATAGTATTGCCTTTTCGCACGGGGTGAAGGTTTGACTTTAAGGGGTTCTTTTTTAATTTAAAATCAGTTATTAATGTTCTAATGTTAAGCTACATCGAAATCTTGTCTGCAAATCTTTTCAAGGTATCATTATTTTGATCAGTGTATGGGTTTATTTTCTTAACTCTTTGTGCTGCTAAAGTAGATATCTATCCATCGGTGGAACGTTTGCTCATTGTAATCAGTAAGCTTAATTCTTAGATCACGCAATAATGCGGTGGAAACAGTTAAAGTAAACTGTAGTGTGAAAACCTACTGTTAAGTCATCAAAGTTTTATATATTTTGACGAAAAATCACACATTTTAAGAGATCTTACGATGTTTTTAAAGCTATAAACCCTATTCCTAAAAATGTGTCCTATTACTGACTATGGATATTTGAACCAAAGTATTCAGCATGGGACTGTTGTTTAGCAAATCCGTATCACTATCGGTCTTTAAGTAAAGTTTCAGTAAGTTTTGTTAGAGCAAACATACTACAAGCTAAAATTACTTCTCTTGACTTTACAGTACGTTCGACTTCGAAAGTTACAGAAAGTTCTGATAAGTCTGTAATTACTAAAGTGACTACGATTAGTACAAAAAGTGGCATCGTATGTTATTTCTCCAAATAGAAGTATGGCTGAAAGATTATTGTATCTGTTCATGTCTGACTATATTCCTTAAAAAGTTACTGTCCTTAACTCTGTGTAAAAAGTATTTTAAAGACTATCTGATGAATCTTATTGCTTAATACATCAATTTAGTAAACGTGTCCTATTATGAAATATGATCGGAGGGCTTTTTATTTTTATTCTTGTATATACTTTGCAGTTTTTTGTTCTAACAAGTTATTCCATTTCCAATCGGCCCGAATAAAATGTTCCGTGACTGATAATATTTACAAGATTTCGGTATTTGTGGGCTTACATTAATCTATGTGTCGGTTTTAATGTTAGTAATGAAAACAATCAGAACGTCATTTAAAAAATAAGGTGTTTTCAACATTCAAGGTAACTTGATTGTGTCCAACAACTTCTGCTTGGCTGCATTTTACGTGAAAGTAATGTCAAAGACAGAACTTTAATACATGATTTGTCACTCAAATAAATGAACTGAGGGATTATTCCGTATAAATATTTAGTCAAAAATGTGGTCTAACAACGGAACAATTTTCTGTCAGTCATAATGTACAACTAGGCACATATAGGCATCACTTCAAATTGCTACACCTCATTAGCCCAATAAGGTGAACACCAAATTCACGGAAGTAGTTACTTCAATGGTAGTAACATATAAAACGGAGATTGCATACAAAGATATAATATAAAAGAACGATTCAGTTCGTAGAAAAAGGGTATAATTTAGTTTTAATCCAATGGTTTAAGCAAAGTGTATACACCTACACCATTGTGGTCCATTCTGTGGCATGTCACCCAGAGTCTCCAACCATTGGTTGTGATAGTCGCGCAGACCATAAATAGTCTGCATCTACCAACGTGGCTAAGACTAGAAGTTGGTGACTCCAAGGAATGGTGCCACGTTTTTGGTTTGGCCGCCCTTAAATTTCTGCTGACCATCCCCAACAATAATCAGAATTACGCGTCGTGGTAATCGGCGCTCAGGCATATGTAAAACGTGGCTCAACCGTCTCAGTCGATGAAGATTCACAACATCATCAACTGATTTACCATCGTTCCTTAATACCCTGAGTCCAACCTCGCTATTACTTACCCGGTGATACCAGCAGATGCTAGTAATATTTCTAAGATATCTGTGTCAATTTACAACGAAATTGAGTCACCTTATAAATAATCATAGTAGATTTGTCCAAAAGTTTGATACAGGTTCATGAGACATCAGTAGAATACTATGTTTGTCGTGCTGATGTTTTACAAGCTGTCTGAAACGTTTTTTGAATATGAGAATCATTCCACAAAAAGGTTAATAAATGTTATTAAGAACGACAAGATGTGCCACGAAGTGCTCTTTAGTACAATTTCGAGTCACCTAGACTGGTGACCACATTACAACTTAGTCGATAGGATTTGATCTGCACTAAGAAGGACCTGACATACATGACATTGATCACCACCCAGTGGTCGTTCAATCGTAAATCCATCTTGGTTCTACAGGAGGTCAGTCGCGGCCCAGATGGCTCGGTGGTAACTTCTCTGACTGTGGGTTTGGGTGACACGGGATCAAATTTGTTAGGGAGCATCAGTTCCCTTAAGATTACAAGTACCACTTGCTGACGAGTGCCGAATAGCACGAAACCTAGATCGAGGACTTCCTGTTGACTACCTCCAACCACCATATTAGCTCTTGAATACAAAAATAAGAACTGAACTGTATGGATAGACTTTGTATGTTATTTTTTATTTTAATCAAATTGTTTCAATAATTCATGAAATTATTGACGATTAGTTCTGAATTCTGTCCGAAGCCTTCAAGTTCAAGCTTTCAAATGAACTTTTTAAAAGCATCATGAAGTGGTAATTTGAGAGTGTAAACAACGACTCAAAGTCAATCACAGTCGGACGGATACGTCTGTCACTCTTGCTTTCAAAGGACTCATAAGTATCTGGTTATTTAAACTATTGAATATGGGTTTAATTTGTTGTCTCTTTTTTTGCAAGATGCTATCAATGACTTTTTCAAACCACGAGTATAAAAATAGTCATCAAATAATAATTATATTTGATGTGACATTACGCTTTCTATGGCTTGCCTATAAACTAAATAGTTGAGTTAAATAGAACAGAACTCTCATTTTATCACATTTTCGAGGTGTCAGATGGATGTTTAGTGTGTTAATTTTTACTTTTTATTTATACAGTCAGTATAAAGACACGACTTAGTTTATACTATTAAATTCATCATCCTAATCGCAATATCATCATTTTTTTGAACATAACAGATGGTTTTAATACCCCAGCTGATTTAGTCTCTTTTTTGTGTTTAAATACAACGACTACTTGGATAGGCTTATAATAAAGATGTGTTTTTCTTTTATAAAAACAAACTGGTGTACATTGTTTCGTGTGCATAAATAATTATATGATTATCATTATTACTACACAATACAATTCATTATCTGAAATATCCAAAAACTAAACTGGAACAAAACTATAAATGAACAGTTGTTATTTATTGTACAAATATAAATAACACATATCAACAGATAAAAACAGATAAATTCCCACTTTTAGAGAGTACTGATTGTGGAAAGTATGAGATAATATACATTTTCTTTCTTTTTTTATTAATGTACACGTTTATTTAATAAATAATGAACACAGCTGTTGTGAAAGTGCACTTTTGTTTAACGGCTACTAATTTCATATATCATAAACGAACTGTCTAGTCAAATAGCAGCAATCTATCTATTCATTAGTGTTTTCCTTTAGGCTTAGTATTCTTAGACAATATTAACTGATTTATGTATTATGTAAGTAATAGTGTTGAATGACATTGTGATGAGAATTTACTTGAGAGTGGAAAAACATTCTTAAGTGGCTAATGAAAGTGATGGATCTGAACGCTGTAAACTGAAACTTGAAAAATGTTTCTCGTAAAAACTGCAAAGAAAATAAACTGTCTACTGAAAATGTCTAAGCATCAGTTTTATTGTGTTGTCATCCAACTTTGTTACTGATGTACATGTTTCTTATACACAAAAACTAAGATTGAGCGGGAAGCTTTAATGAGAAAAGACATCAGTCTATGAGGTCATTTGGAAGATGCTGACTTATGGCCGAGAACTAGAAAATAATTGCAAAATATAGTTGCGGTCTATTAAAGACGTGACTTAGAATCTGTCACAATGTCAAATATATATTCTTCATCTTCCAAACTTTGAGTTTTAACCCTCGATTTCATCTGCTTTTTTAAACTATGTTTCCAACGTTTCGTTTCCAAGTATTGTTGACATTACTATTATTTTGACTTCTTTCCTTCTTGACTCTGATTTCTCATCACTATGTTGATATGAAGTGTATTAGCTTGGAGGAATCAATGTTTGAGTGACGTCTTAACTTGGTTACAGCTAAATAATTAACTCGAATCACTTTTCAAATAGGTAGTCAGAGCATAACATGTTATGTGACACAAGAGTAGGTAAGTAATTAATTAGGATTAGAATGCAAAGGCAGTATCAGTAAAAAACCTCATCAAAAGTAAGTCAATGAGAAAAAAATAAAAGTGTTCACTGCACTGTTTGAAAGTGTTACTTTACCAAAATTCTTAAGCGTCAACTATCTAATCTACATAAGTCAAACATCAATATAGTGAGTTTGTGGAGTTCGTTGACGGTTGGTGAAATCACAACCTGAAATAAGTTGGGCGATCGAGGAAGAACTGAACAACTGTCTCGTCATAGTATCCGGTTTCTCAGTAGTGTGCATTCATGACCCTACCACAGATGCTGGAGTCCAGGACCTGGTAGGCGCATAATCTTTTGCCTACTGAGATGGCATCCATGAGTGATCATGTTTAAATTCAATTAATCCACAATATTACGCAGTCATATTTCACTAGCTACGGTGGGTGGCTTCCTCAGACTCAACACTGATGAACTCCACTAATCACGGTTTTTCATGAAACAGCTGTCCGATATTTTCTAGATTCAGCGATTATTTAAATTCAGCCGATTCGTGGCCTCAGTATATGTTATATGGATATAAAATACTTCATGGACTACTGTCACGTCTTTATTTGCTCACTCTAGGATTACATTTATTCCATACCCGTAGACCGATGATGGTGGGCTTTATGACGATAAAACAACGGCAAAATGCTTGTTTTATTCACTACATTTTATAGTTATATAATCGGT